CCAGATGGTGTTGAGCTAAAGGGAGGTGTGAGTGGTGTGGTGATGGAGCCAAGCCCGGGTCAGGAGACAGGACACAGGGCGGTGGAGAGGAGGCCAATGTACAGAGTGGAAGAAGAAAGGCTTCCCTGACCGGAATCGAACCCTAGCCAATCCTAATCACTTGACCACCAGGGAGCATCTCATACAATGGAAGGTCCCGCCACTCGCCACCGTTTTTTCACCCTGAAAATACTTAAAATTCAGTCTAAAATGAAAATTGTTGGTTGCAAGACGATATATTTGGCTTTGGTAATTAAAAGGTGTAGCAAGCTTTCTCTTGGGCCCCCAACCAGCTCCCAAATCATGATATAGACTTTTTTATTAGTTTTTAATGCTCGGCCTTAGCTTAGCTCTTGTTTTAATCTGTTTCTCTTTATCTACATTTTGCCTCAGAGGTTTATCCTTTTTTTTTTTTTTTCTTTTTTCGAAACAGGGTTTCTCTGTGTAGCTTTGCGCCTTTCCCTGGAACTCACTTTGTAGTCCAGGCTGGCCTCGAACTCACAGAGATCTGCTTGTCTTTGCCTCTCGAAGGCTGGGATTAAAGGCGTGTGCCACTACACCTGTTTACATTTTTTTCTATCTTACCTTTCTGCTGTCACTAGTCTGTTTGTCCGGCAGCTATCTGCCTTTCTGGTGCCAGGTGTGTCCCTCTCTTTCTCCCTGGTTCCTTTTGTTCCTTCTCTTCCCTCTTGAGCCCAGACTCCTCTTCCCATTCTCTCTGCCTGCCATTCCCACCTATCCCTCTCCTGACTAGCCATTGGCTCTTCAGCTTTTTATTAAACCAAATCAGGAGCCTTGGGCAGACAAGGTGAAGCAGCAGTACATCTTTACATAATTAAACAAATGCAGCATAAACAAATGTAACACACATTTGTATTTGGCAAAATCAAAGAAAATACTCCATTATCTATCCTATCTTGGTGAGTTCAAAGTTCTGTACCTAATTTACCCTCTATAATAACTAAGGAAAACTATAACTATCTAGTCTTCCACTTTATCAAAGACCCCAGAAGACTATAATATCACCTGAGTAAACAGGAAGTGCAGTGCAATCCACTTCCAAAACTACAAACATCTGCCTACCTGGATAGTCACTCAAGATTCCTCTGCATTGATGGGACGTCCTTCTTCAGCCTACAGACATAGAAGATCTAGCAGACTTTTCTATGAAGCAGCAATTTTGAAGGACTGTCCCGCCTTATCTTGGCAAAATTCAGCAGTCTTTTTCCTCTGTGTCCTTCTTGTCCAGTTTGCACAGCATACCATCAGTAGTCAAAGCAAGGTCTGTTTCTTGCCCAAATGGCTAAGTTTGCCACACTGAAAGCAAACTCCATATGGAGGTTCTTTGATGTCCATCATCCTTTTATAAAGTATATTGGTGCTGCCTGGAGTAGACAAGTCTCACTGTCGTGAAAAGCCTTAGGTTATTAAACATCTTCAGTGCCATATTCTTTAGATCTCTGAGGTGTTTGAAGATCACCTATCTATCTAAAATATGTCTCTGTATGATCTTGAAAACATACCTAATATGACTTCAAGTTTTATTATTATAGATAACTACCAACCTGCATTTTTAAAGATTTATTTATTTACTATGTATACAATATTCCTCCTGCATGTTGCCTGCAGGCCAGAAAAGGACACCATATCTCATTATCTATGGTTGTGAGCCACCATGTGGTTGCTGGGAATTGAACTCAGAACTTCTGGAAGAATAGCCACTGCTCTTACCTCTGAGCCACCTCACCAGCCCCGCATTTTTAAGTTATACATTACATTTTTTTTTAAGAGTTATTTATTTATTACATATACAGTGTTCTGCCTGCAGGCCAGAAGAGGGCACCAGATCTCATTATAGATGGTTGTGAGCCACCATGTGGTTGCTGGGAATTGAACTCAGGACCTTTGGAAGAGCAGCCAGTGCTCTTAACCGCTGAGCCATCTCTCCAGCCCTATACATTACATTTTTAAATGATCTGCATAAGCACAATACCCCAAAGAAGAGTAGAAACATGAATGTAGTATAACAAAAATAACTTTAAATTTGTATTAATATACCAAAATCCATATCAATGTAAAGTATTTGATGTTAATAGTTGTCTTTTTATCCTATATTCCCATAATCCCCCTAAATGATGACAAACATGTATAACCCAACAAAGGATCAACCACCCACCCCAATTCTTGGGAATGTGGGCATTGTATTCTCTAGTCTGTTTCTTGTTGTCTGTGGATGATGACATCTTTAGGACACCTGAGAAAATTGAGATAATGGTCAAGTCCTGGGAAAACTAGTCATAACATTTGTTGTCTGTGGTGATGTATAGTGTCCCCAATATACTGTGTCCCCCACTGTGAGGATCAGAGGAAAAAGCCAGCCACTATATTAAACATAGAAGTCAGGCAATGGTAGCACACACCCTTAATCCTATCATTCGGGAGGCAGGACTCTGTCTGGATCTCTGTGAGTTCAAAGCCACACTGGGAACAGAGCCAAGTGTGGTGACACATGCCTTTAATCCCAGCACTAACCACAGAGGTCTGGAGGTCTGTACAGACAGACAGGAAGTGACAGAGCTGGGCAAGAAGAGGAAGCGATGTAGCTGGGCTGAGAGAGCAAATGAGAGAGCAGAACAGAAAGGCATGTAGGCATGGGAAGACAGGAAGTAGGTCTCTTTGAAGACTGAGGTATCTGTGAGGCGAGGTTAGCTTGTGGCTTTTTCTATTCCTCTGATCTCTCTCAGGCTTTAACCCCAATGTCTGGCTCCGAGTATTTTATTTAATAAGAACATTTAGCAATTTGTCTACAGCTGTCCAGTCTCTGTGCAACGGGAAAGCACAAGGCTTATCTGCAGTCCTGGCTAGAATAACCTGTGAGGCTGGACCATCTCAGCCAGCAGCCTTGAAGCTGCCCTGGTTACAGAACTCTGAGGAAACAGAGGCATCTGAGAGGCTGGATCACCTCAGCCACCCGTTTTCATTGTCTGGTCCCCTTGCTCCGAAAACACATAAACTTTCAAAGGTAACATACATACCTGCATTAATACAAGTATGTACTGTGCATTGTATATAAGCTAGACAAAGGTGATTTTTTTTTGTTTTATGTTTGAGCAAGTATAATATACATGTCTTGTAGTTTTTCTAGGTTTATTTCTTTATGTCTGTAGCCAAGATTTTCAGGAGGTCTCCCTTGATCAAACCTGATCTCTGCTGTGGGATGTCTTTCTGTATGCTATGAATATGTGTTACTCCCACTGGTTAATAAATAAAACTGCATTGGCCTATGGCAGGGCAGGATGGAGCCAGGTGAGAAAATCCAAGTGAGATAGTGATGAGAAAGGAGAGTAAGGGGAGACACCAAACAGCTGTCCAAGGAGCAACATGAAAGAGAACACAGGTAAAGTCAAGGAATACATGGTGACACATAGATTAAGAGTCATGGGTTGAGTTAAGTTGTAAGAGCTAGCTAGTAAGAAGCCTGAGCCATAGGTCATATAATTTGCAATTAATAATAAGCCTCTGAATGATTATTTTATAAGTGGCTGTGGGACCTCGGGGCCAGGTGGAACCAGAGAAACTTACAGCTACAGATCTCTATTAACCTTGAAGGATTCCACAGCCTTCCGTTTCCTGTGGAAACAAAAGCATAACTCCTTCTCCAATGCAATACATTTTCTGACTTCCATTTTAAAGTTAAGGCGTCCCTAAAGTATCTAGGTTGGTTTAATCCATCAGTCCCTGTTACAATCCCATGTCTCTCAGCAGCATTGGTCTCTCATTAGCATTCAAAAAATTCAGTTTACATAACACCATGCAGAAACCAGGCTCCCTATACATTTACATCTTTACATGGCTTTTTTTCTTTTATATTACTTTAATCCTTCTTTTAAGACTTTATGCTGGGGGGATGTCTTTCTGTACACTGTGAATATATGTTGTTCCCATTGGTTAAGTAATAAGCTGTGCCAGGCGGTGGTGGTGGTGCACACCTTTAATCCCAGCACTCGGGAGGCAGACCCAAGTGGATCTCTGTGAGTTCAAGACCAGCCTGGGCTACAGAGTGAGATCCAGTACAGGCACCAAAACTACATTGAGAAACCCTGTCTCAAAAAAACCCCAAAATATAAATAAATGAATGAATGAATGAATGGGTAAATAAATAAATAAATAAATAAATAAATAAATAAATAAGCTGCTTTGGCCCATGGCAAGGCAGCTTAGAGGCAGACAGGTGGGAAATCCAAGGAGAGAGACTGTGAAGAGAAAGGCAGAGTCTGGGGGGATGCCAGCCTGCTGCCCAAGGAGCAACATGCCAGCAGACCAGTAAAGCCATGGAACATGTGGCAAAACAGATTAGTAGAAATGTGTTAATTTAAGATATAAAGAGCTGGCTAGCAAGAGGCCTGCCATAGGTCATACAGTTTGTAAATAATATTAAGCCTCTGAGTAATTATTTTATAAGTGGCTACGGGACCATGGGGCCAGGCGAGACAGGAGAAAACTTTCAACTATGACTTTACTTTATTATTTATAAACTGTCTACTTTTTTCTATGACTGTCTATACCCATTTTCTTTCTTAAGCCTACTCACATTTTTTTGGGGGGGGGAGGGGGATTCGAGACAGGGTTTCTCTGTAGCTTTGGAGCCTGTCCTGGACTAGCTCTATAGACCAGGCTGGCCTCGAGCTCACAGAGATCCACCTGCCTCTGCCTCCCGAGTGCTGGGATTACAGGCGTGTGCCACCACCGCCGGGCTCCTACTCACATTTTTAAACACACTGTAACCAGCCTGGATCTGTCTTTACTGCATGTCTCTAGCCTCCTGAGCCAAACCTTAAACTGCTAAGTGGCTTTGTGCTGGCTGACTCCACCCCACTCAGGGCAGCTGAGCTTTATGACCTAGGAGCCTGGCGGAGAGCTGTGTTCAGCTGAGAGCAGCATTGAACCACACCAGCTCTAGGGAGTTGGTGCTCCGCACGGCACTGCGGTGTGTGGTTTTTACTTAGCTTGCTGTTTCTACCATTACAGCAGAGCCTCTTAAAGGAGCCATATCCTTTTTCCCCTTCCTTCCTTCCTTCTTTCCTTCCTTCCTTCCTTCCTTCCTTCCTTCCTTCCTTCCTTCCTTCCTTTCTTTTTTCTTTTCCAGTTTTCTCAGGCCCTATGAGAAACACCCACATTGGAACACCAAAAATGTGTGAAGCACTGAAACCCTGTGACAAAGCATGTAAAGCGTTAACAGTTCTGCAGGAGAGCCTAGCCTGAGACGTGACAGAAGAAGTCACAGTTCCAGGAAAGATGACTGAACAGCCAGCCATCACCCACAGAAGGACTCTGTTAACTTCCGTGATAACTATACAAGCCTGCTCGAGTTTTTCCGACTTTTGTTATGTCTGTTCTGTGAAACAGTCATGTTTATTCCAGGTAGATAATGTCAGAACTGAGTTGAAATGGTAGGAATTCCAGACGGTGTTGGAGAATTGTCTGGTATGGACACTACCCCCCACATATTTGGTGTCAGAAGTGTGTAGCTGGTGAGTACAGACCAAAAAAGTATGTGTTTTTAAACATTTGTTTAACTGTGTGTGTGTGTGTGTGTGTGTGTGTGTGTGTGTGTGTGTGCGCGCGCGTATGTTCAACGCACAAAGGAAATCATTTCTCTCCAAACACCATGTAGGTTCCAGAGGTGGAACCCTGGTTAACAGGCATGGCAGTAAGTGCCTTTACCTACTGAGTCACCTTGCCGGCTCCCAATTTCCTCTTTTGAGTAGAATTTCTGCTATTACAATTTCTTTATTAACAAATTTATTTCTTATACTTAAAAACTTTGTTTTTGCTCTGGGCATGGTATCACACGCCTTTAATCCCAGCACTCATGTGGCACAAGCAGGCTGATCTCTAAGTTCAAGGTCAGCCCGGTCTATATAGTGAGTTTCAGGTCAGTCATGGGTAACTAGAGAGACAGTGTTTCAAAAAAAATCAAAACAAAGCAAAAACTCTCAACAACTTTCTTATGTGTGTGGAGGGCAAGGTCAGACTCTTGCATGTAGGATAGAGACATTCTTGGACTGTTTTCTTCAGATATTATTTTTTTTTCCCCAATGATTCTTTCAATAACCTGTTTAGAAGTTCTCTTTATCTCATCTGGGTCAAAATTCCTTTGCCAAGGCTCCCTTAGAGCTTTCTGTATTGGTCTGTGCGGCAGCACTGGAACTTGTGAAAGCAATACAACATTGAGGCCCCGACACTAACTGGAGACTCCCTTCTCTGCTTTCTAGTGTTCCCCCCAGTGTCCTCACCAGCAAACAGTAACTCGGGGTTTTCCCCAAGGGTACAACAAGGGACTACACGTAGAAAGTTCTATCTGTTAAGCAGATTCCATATCTTGTTTGACCAGTAATTGTTAAGTTAGCAGAAACAGAGTCTGCTGACCCACCTGATTATGCAAGCAGATGAGTCCACTTCCTTCCTATTTTCATAGTTCATCTCCTATACCCCATCAGACTCTGACCCAGTTCCTGAAAGACTTTGGAGACACAAATGTTTCAGAATGTACATTCTGGAAGCCAATGGCTGCTTCAACCACTGACAATTTTGCTGCTGTTTGGTGAGTAAGGGTCACAGTGATTTCCGCCTCTCTTAGCGTCTGGACTCCAGAGACCAGGATAGTAAGGAGCAGGCCTGGTTTAGAAGCTCGGGAAGGCGGGGGTGGGAGGGGGGAGATAGAAAGGCAAGAGATCCAGGTCTGGTGGTATCTGCTTCTAACGCCAGCACTTTCATGATAGGGGAACCAGGAGTTCGAGGTTAGCCTCAGCTATAGTGAGTTCTAATTCCAGGCCAACCTGGCTTCACGGGACCCTGTGGAAAAAAGGGGTTTCTAGAACTAGGTGTGGTGATCCATGCCTTAATCTTAGCACTTAGGAGACAGAGGCAAGTGGTTAGTCTGGTCGACACAGTGAGTTCCAGGCCAGCCAGAGCTACATGGTGATACCCTGTCTCAACAACAACAAGGAGAGGTTTCTAACTTTTGACTACGCTAAAGCTTTTTTAAGCTAGGAATTCAGAGGTACCTTTACAGGTCCTGAAAGTCTGTCTTGCACCAAACATTCATACTTGCTTGGCAGCCAAGCCAACCCCTTGGCAGGGTGAGGTGGGGAGGATATGTGAGAGAGAAACTAGAACCAGACTCCTGAGGCGGGGAGGAGGCTCTAAGCCCATCCTGATGTTCCTTAGGTACAATTTGCTTTTGTCTGCTGCTGCTCCACTGACCCCTTCTCTTCTTATTTACAGCTTTTGCAGACAGGCAGACTGGTAAGTTCGTGTTTCCCTTGTTTTCACAGTGTTACTTCCTTACAACAAAGTGCTGTGTTTACTTTGTAGGGAAATGTCTGTTCTACCAAGGATCAGGCTTGGGTTCATATTGGGTAGTTCTCTCACAGCAGGGCCTGGAGAATGATCGTTGGGAAGCCTCCAGCTGGGTTCTCCAAGAACCCAAGGAAAAGAGACTGGTGCAAGCACACATTTTTTTTTTTTGTAATGGTCTAGAGATTGAACCCAGGACCTGGGGTGTGCTGCGAAAGCTTCTGCCATTGAGTTATAACCCTAACCCTTTTAAAATTTATTTTGAAACAGACATGCTCAGTTGCCCACAAGGGGTCTTGAATTAATTATATATCACAGTCAGATCTTAAATGCTTCGTCCTTCCCATTGCTAGATTATAGCTGTGAGTCATCATCCCAGTATTTTTCTGGGTCAATGACAGGGACTCCCTGGCCCCTGGGCTCCCCTTTAGAAACCACAGTCTCTCACAGCTTACTTGTTCACATTCCTTTTTGATCTCTTATTCTCAGCAGATCTCCCGAAGGCTGTGGTGAAACTTGAGCCCCCATGGATCCAGGTGCTCCGCGAAGACAGTGTGACACTGAAATGCGAAGGGACCCCCAACCTTGGGAACGATTCGACCCTGTGGCTCCACAATGGGAGATCCATCAGCAGCCAGGCCCATCCCAGCTACACGTTTAAAGCCACAGCCAATAACAGTGGAGAATACCAGTGTCAAACGGGCCAGACCAGCCTCAGCGACCCTGTACATCTGGGAGTGATTTCTGGTCAGTAGACACAGGCCCAGGGAGGAGCCGGGATACCAGACCCAGGGAATCTGCTTACAGGACAGAAGTTTACGAGAAAGAGGGTGGCCTGATTTCTGGGAAGCATCACGGAGAGCTTTTTTGAAAGACATTTGTCCACTCATTTCCCTTTTCACCCACTCTGTTTAGTACGGTGTGAAAGGGACAGCTTTATCTGTCTCAGACCTAACTGAGCAAGAGGTTCAAGGCCACAGAAAGGCTGCTGTGAGAAAAACAGAAGGAAGTTCTTGCTTCATAAACATCACTTCTGTGATGCTGTGTGGGAAAGCACCAAGACTACAGGCAAGTGGACCTGCAGAGACAGGGGTAGGCTTGTCAGTGCCAGGACACAGGGGCAGGCTTGTCAGTGCCAGGACACAGGGGCAGGCTTGTCAGTGCCAGGACACAGGAGGTGGAACCTCCCAGGGAAGGCGGAGGGGAACTGTGTCCAACAGGTAGAAGAGGATAGGCTGTGTGATGACTTTTGCCCCTAAATGAGATGGAAGCCTGTGAAGTAGTTTTAAAAACTTGAAACTAATATATTTGTGGAGGACAGCGTGTGACATTTTGTTATGTGTATATAATTGTTTAGTTCTTAGATTGGATTAGGTATATTTATCACCTCAAATATTTACCATTTATTTATAGTATAAAATTGAGAATCCTTATTTCTGTTCCCCCCCCCCCTTTGGAATATACAATATCGTTGTCTATAAACATCTTACTATACAATAGCTCCTCAAAATGCCTTTCTCCTGTCTGACTATAAATCACTACCTGTTGATCAACCTTTCCCCATTTCACCCTCCCCTCTTTTCTTCCCATACTCGTCTTTCTTTCTTTTTTTGGGGGGGGGTTGGTTTTTCGAGATGGCGTTTCTCTGTATAGTTTTGGGGCCTGTCTTGGATTTCTCTCTGTAGACCAGGCTGGCCTTAAACTCTCATAGATCCGCCTGGCTCTGCCTCCCGAGTGCTGGGATGAAAGGTGTGTGCCACCACCGCCGGATGCATACTTGTCTTTCTATGCCTGGCTTAGCTCTCTTAACATGATTTCCAATTAGATAGGATTTATTCTTAGGGCTGAATAGTATTCCTTTGTGTCATCAGGAGACGGTTTTAATTTAAGGAGTCACATGATCTGATTTAGGTTTGTGTAAATATGTGACAATGTTCAGTTTAATAGAATCTATAATGAAAATGCCCTTGAGCACTATTTCTGTCCCACTCCAATATCTGAAAATAGGAGTATGTTTATAGTTTGCTTCAGATCTACCTTGTTCCTGCCCTGAAGATGGTACATGTCAGTATCTAGTGTTTTAGATTCTCCTGTTTAACACCAAGAAGGTGACTTTTAAAAACAGTACTTTTAGGCAGAGTATGATTGCACATGCATTTATTTATCACAGCACTGTAGGGGCATAGGCAGGTATCTCTCTGTAAATTCCAGATCAACCAGGGCTACAGAGTGAGACTGTCTCAAGATAAAATAAAATGATTCTTTAAGGTCCCAATGCCAAAGCTACACAATAAATTGGAAGTCCAACTGGGCTACATAAGATTCTCTCAAAAAAATGAAAACAAGCAGGGCGGAGGTGGTGGCACATGCCTTTAATCCCAGCACTTGAGAGGCAGAGGACATTCAGAACTGTGTGAGTTCCAGGACAGGGTGGTCTACACAGAGAGACCCTGTCTTGAGAAACCAAACCAACCAAACAAACAAGGAAACCAAAAACAAAAATGTACCCCCAAAAAACAAACAAACAGAAAAATGTAGAGCTGGCAAGATGGCTCTCTCGGTAAAATCACTTTCCATACAAGCATGCAAACCTGAGTTCAATCTCTGGAAGCCAAGGCGGAAGGAGAGAACCAACTCTGGCCTCCATGTGTGTTAGCTGGAGCATGCACACACACCGTGTGTGTGTGTGTGTGTGTGTGTGTGTGTGTGTGTGTGTGTGTGTGTGTGTGTGTGTGTGTGTGTGTGACTCCCACCATCAATAAAGGCTGGGGATGGTTGTGAGGATGTTCTTAATGATGGTAGAAAAGTGATTTTAAGTTTTAAAATGTTCTGCCCTTTTTGTTCTAATTCACAAGAGAACACTGAATTCAAAAGATCTTATCCAAAAGCCTGGTGTGGTGACACACACCTTTAATCCCAGCACTTAGGAGGCAGAGGCAGAAGAATTTCTGTGAGGCTAGCCTGGTCTTCATAGTGAGTTCCAGGACAGCCAGGGCTACTATAGTGAGACCTGACACATCTTAAAAACAAATAAAACCAAACAACAAACAAGCAGTCTTACCTGATGGGGCATGATAGCTCTCACCTGTATGTAATACCAACTGAGGCAGGAGGATTGCCGCTTGCTGAAAGTTTGAGGCTAGCCTTCGCTACATAATGAGTCCTGGCCAGCCTGAGCTTCAATGTCACAAACTCCTACATTGCCCCCAAAGGTCATATACTTTCTTTCTTTCTTTTTTTTTAATGTGGGTGGAAGATTCTATTCAGGGTGTGTTGTGCTCTCAAATGTTCATGTTCAAAGACTGAGATGTTGCGGTCTTAACCACCAAGGGGAGAGTATTAGGAGGTGGTCCTTTGGGGAGGTAACTAGGTCATGAAAGTGAAGTCCTTATTAGGGAGATCTACAAGAATCCTGTAAGAGTGTGACAATGAGCTTCAATTCTATGAACTAGGAAGTGGACTCATCAGATGCAAACATTTCTAGCCTCTTGCTTTGGATTTCAAAAGTCTTCAAAAATTTGAGAAGTAAATGTGTATTGTTTATAAACCATGGAGGTTATGTTTTGAACATTTGTTTATTAAGATAGAGTATCATATAGCCCAGGCTAGACTCCAGCTCACTATTTAGGTGATGATGACTGTGAACTCCTGATCCTTCTGCTCTACTGCCCAGGTTCTGGGAATACAGACATGTACTCCCACATCTGGCTTGTGGGTGCTTAGTTTATGGTTCTTTGTCAAAGCAGCCTGAGTAAACCATGACAGAAGGGCTTGCATTATTCAGGCTCTACTCACTGCTAACACAGTTATGGCTACTTACCTTGCTTCCTAAGATTTGTTCAAAAGTCACATCCTTAAATTAGTATTCCTAAACCATAAACACTATACTTATAATACACTGAAGGATTCAGGCTCTATTCTATAACTCCTATAGTTATTGAGATTAATGCATTTCCTACATGAGCATGTGTTTTTTAATCCATGAAACTGTTTTAAAATTATTTTAGTATCTCATAGATGTAATGCCATGTTTTCCCTGTGTGAGTCATGTGGGCCTGTGTGAGAGGCTGACGCAAGGGCCTTGGGATTTTGTTTGTTTTTGATTTTTGAGACAGGGTTTCATGTAGTCCAGGCTTGCTGTATAGCTGAGGACGGCCTTGAATTTCTGGCTCCACCTCTGAGGTGTTGTGATTGTACACTTTCCGACTGGGTGTTAGGGATTGAGCCCAGGCTCTGATGTATGCATTGTACTGAGCCATATCTCCAGCCTCTTGGTATCCTACTCTTAGTAAATTTCCCTTCCATCTTTCAGACTGGCTGCTGCTCCAGACCCCACAACTGGTATTCCGGGAAGGGGAAACCATCATGCTGAGGTGCCATAGTTGGAGGAGCAAACCCCTGAACAAGATCACATTCTACCAGAATGGAAAATCGGTGAAATTTCATCATTACAGTGGCAACTTCTCCATCTCCAAAGCCAATCACAGCCACAGTGGTGATTACAACTGCACAGGATTTCTAGGAAAGACAAAACACTGGTCGAAGCTTGTGACCATCACTGTCCAAGGTATGGGGACTCTGTCAAAATGTTGGAAAGGGAGAAGAGACAGACAAAGGCCAGAGTTGTGTAGCCCCACATGGAGACCTAGGAACTGGGATCGGAGGCAAAGAGGAGAGCTGTGAAGCCCTTGCCAAGTGATGGCAAGTGGGCCCAGCCCAGAGCTCTTCACTTGCAGGTGGTGGGTGACAAGGCAGCAGTGAAAGAGAGCCTTGTCATTGGTGCAAAGGTCCTCCAAGTTCCCAGACATTCCAGACATTCCAAAGAGCTGAGGTGTCACTTCCTGTAATCTCATACAGATGTGGCTGTGGCCACCCTTCAGGAAATGCAGATTTAGCAACATCTGGGGGGGCGGCTGAGAGATAAAAAGTCCACTGAGGCTTCCTGGCTTACTGATGTGCTCTTGTCCCTACTTTAAGTACGAGGTGTGAGGACTATACAAAGAGGACTCTGCACTGAGGACCCCACAGTTTATTCCAAATTTCTGTCTTAATGGTGCATCTCTCCCACCAGGTCCAGCGACTGCACCCATCGCCTCTCTGCTTTGGTACCACGCCGCTTTCTGCCTAGTGATGTGCCTCCTGTTTGTAGTGGACACGGGCCTTTATTTCTGTGTACGGAAAAACCTTCAACCCCCAGTGGAGGCCTGGAGGAAAACTCTGTCAGTCAGAAAGTGTCAGGCTCCTCAGGACAAGTGACATCTCATCGTAAGGGTGGCAAATAGCAGTGGCAGCAGCATCTTTTCAGCCACCCTGTTGCTTCTCCTGCAGCCTTCCTTTTAAAAAAGCAGCTTAGAGCCAGGCCTGACATGTGGTCCTGCAATTACAGTTACACAGGAGGCTGTGGCAGGATCACCGGTTCAAGGCCTGCCTAGGTGCCAGAGTGAGTGCAAGTCTAGCCTGGATAACTTAGTGACATCCTGTTTCAAGAAAAGAAGGCTGGATAGGGACAGTGTGCAGGTTGTGTTTAGATGGCTTACCAAGAAAGGGCACCTGTTGCTAAGCCTGCCAACAAGAGCAGAGTTTGATCCTGGGGACCCACATGGCGGGAGGACAGAACAAATTCCTGAAAGTTGTCCTCTGACCTCCACACATCCACCACGGCAGGTGCACCTTCTCTTTCTACATGCACACACAAAATAAAGACATTAAAATGTCCTTTTTTTTCGTTTTTTGTTTTTGTTTTTTTTTTTAACAAGAAAGGGAGAAAGAGAGGGCTGAGGATTGGTGGCAGAACTGTTATTCAGTATACATGATGTCCTGGGTTTGACCTCCAGCAATAAAACAAAACCCAATCTGGGCTAAGGATCTCCCTTTAGTGACTTGTTTGTTTAAAATAATGTAAAAGCCTTCCCTTGTACTAAAAGGAAGTCTAATGACTTTTCAGTGTTCTCCGAGATGATACCACATGATCTTGCCACTCTGATCTCATTTCCTTCTCCTTTTCCTGGCTTATTCTTGGTCATTTTCACTCTTCCTCGGACACAGCACCTATATTTTATATACCATCATTTCTGTTCCAGGGATGTTCTTGTTTACAGAGGCCCACATCCTGTTTCACCATGCAAAGTATAAATTGTTCCAGGCAAAACTCAGACTGAGGCTTGACGCTCAGGGCAGTGGTGCTAGGAGGCGGAGACCAATGGGAAGCATTCCGATCATGAGGGATGCTTGGATGCCTCCACAGGCGCATAGCTTGATGCTCTTCAGGAGGAATCGCTTAGCCATCTGGCAGCTTAGCAGCTTGCAGTCTTCCCAGGACCCTTGCTTGCTCTTGTGTTTCTCAGCCATGCACAGAGCAACACAAGGTCCTCATCAGGAGCCAAGCGGATGTGACCATCTGAACTTGGACTAAAGTCTCTGTAACTGTGACCTAAATAAACCTTTTTTCTATAAATAAATAAATAAATAAATAAATAAATAAATAAATAAATAAATAAATAAATAAATAAAGAACCTAGTAGCATATGCTTTACTCTACCACTAAGATTCGGTTTTTATTCAGATGTCATCAGTCAGGACGCTTTGATTATTCAGTCGTATAACCTTATTCCTCTCTTAAGTCTCCTTCCCTGTTTATTTTTCTCCTTTGCACTTATCATCATCATCAATACGCTGTATGCTTGCTTGTTTAGCGTGGGACTTTCCTCTTCCACCAATTAGTTTCTTTCTTTCTTTCTCCTCCTCTTCCTCACCCTCATCCCCTTCGTCCTCCTCCTTCTTCTTCTTGAGACAAGCAGCCCTGACTGTCCTAGAACTCACTATGTAGACCAGGCTGACCTAGGAACTCACAGAAATCCCCTGCCTCTGCCTCCTGAGTGCTGGGATTAAAGGCGTGTCCACCATGCCTAGCGCTTTCCCTCTCTTTCTCTTCTCTTAAGATGCTGACCAGAATCCTAAGTGTGCTCGCCCAGGACACTTGTCTTTCTTACTGTTTTCTTGAAGACTTCCAGGCCCTGTCTATAGCTGCTTGCAGACCTCCATTGCTGACCGAAGGGCATGACTTCTCCATCTTCCTCCTCTTGGTAGCTTCTGAGATCTGCAGTGGGCCCACTTTGTGGTTTTCCCTCAAATTCTAATGAAATGGTCCTTGAGTTTCCTTATGACTTTCCTTTTGGGTTCTTTTATCAATGAGACTGAGAACTTGCAAAAGGAAACTCAGATTCTCTAGAAGAGGCTGGGTTTTCTGGCTTCCTGAGCGGGGGTGGGGGGGGCACTTTGCAGAGGCTCTTTCTCTGTGTAGCTTCTGAAGCATGTGTGTGTCCTCACCTCCAATAAATGCCTTTTCTCAGTTGCTGATGCTGTCTTTGGAGCTTGAGGTTTCTGCACTCCCCCTGTTGAGCTGAGATTTTTTTTTTTTTTTTTTTTTTGCCTTTTAATTCTTTAACTGGCAGAGAAAACGAACTCTATCAGACCCCTAGACTGAAGCAATTTAGGAAATCCAGGTTTGTATTCCCTGGTGAGGCGGGGCGGGGTGTGTGTGTGTGTGTGTGTGTGTGTGTGTGTGTGTGTGTGAGAGAGAGAGAGAGAGAGAGAGAGAGAGACAGACAGAGAGAGACAGAGAGACAGAGAGACAGAGACAGAGACAGAGACAGAGACAGAGACAGAGAGAGATCTGACCTCTTCCTCAAGGGCATTTTTGAAATCTTTTGAATTTCAATGTAAGTCCAACATCGGAAAGTCAAAATGGAATGCTCTGAATGAAAGAAAATGGGACACGATAAAAAGACTCAGTCTTCAAATCCTCAGACAGTAGGAAGCAATGCAGTTTACTGCTTGATGAACTCGCTTCAGCCTTTAGGGCAGTGGTTCTCAACCTGTGGGATGCGACCCTCTTAGAGGGGTGTACCAACTGACCCTTTCATAGAGGTCGCATATTTGATATCTTGTATATCAGATATTTACATTATGATTCATAACAGAAGCAAAATTACAGTTACGCAGTAGCAACGAAAATAATTTTAAGTTGGGGGGCGGGGGTTCACCACAACATGAGGAACTGTATTAAAGGGTCGCAGCGTTTGGAGGGTTGAGAACCACTGCTTTAGGGCATATGCTGCAGCAATTTGTTCTACATCTGAATCCTGGGGTCACTTCCACCTGAGAGAAAAACAGGCTCACAGATAAAAAACACAAAGTCTTTCCAAAACACTCTGAGAACGATGCTTCTTTGGGAGAGGAATTTTAAAGCATTAGTCTCAAATACAGGAGTGAAACGCAGGCTTGCCGGTGTCCAGCGCTCTCATGGGTTGGTCGGTTAAGGTTCCGCAATCCCATGACCACAGCGTTGTTCGAGTTCCTCAGAGGCAAACTGGTGAAAGAACAGGAGTCAAATCGAAAGAACCCTGAGTTCTGGCGGAAGGCTGGAGAAGAAAAGGGATCAAACCTTAAAGAAAAATTCCACACAAAAACATGTGTGCATTGGCCGGGAATCGAACCCGGGCCTCCCGCGTGGCAGGCGAGAATTCTACCACTGAACCACCAATGCTAACCGTGAGAGATGCTTGCAGTACTCCTATTTCAGTATATCTCTACTTCTAGTGGCACGTAATCATTCTTTTTGACTCTGTTTTGAGACTCCGACCCTCGTGTTCCAAGAATTCATTTTCTTAAAAAACAAACCCCACGCCAGTATTTACATTTCTAGCTCAGAAGCTATGGCTCTGTTTGCGCGGCAGCACGCGCCCGGCTTTCGGGGGCGGGAGGTAAGAGGGGCCGGGGCGGGGAGACGGACTCGCACCAGCGCAGGACTGCCGTCCAAACAGTAGCCGGGAAAGGTAGCTTGACTTGCTGCTGTCACCACCCTGCTCCTTTAGAATCAGCCGGGGAGAACTGGAACCCACGGTGCATTTCTTTGCAGCAGCTCTGAATCAAAGTGGCGGATGGGAGCCAGTCACTCTGCACTCCTCCTCTCCGGGCCGCTAGGCCCGAGTCTTCTTAGGGAGGCAGCGCGGCTGGTCTTGGCTCGTCCGAGGGCTCGAGGGCTCGGATGGGCGCAGAAGGTGCGCGAAGGTTCTTGCCAGCGAGGGCAGGAGGAGGCGGGGCTCCCACAACCGGGTAGAAAGCCCGTGGCGCTGAATCAGGCCGATCCCAGCTGGGCCGACTGGAGAGGCCGCGAAAGGACAGCAGTGCTGAGCTGTACCAATTCCCGCCACCTCGAGCATCTGCGTCCTCTTCTAACCTGAGAGCGAGAGGCCATGTCTGTTCCCAGGGAAGTGGCACCTTGCAGATCAACTTCTTGTTCGAAGATGTGGGCTTCTACACGTCCATTACTCATGCCCACACTGAGGAACTGTGTTCAGACCTTTTCTGCAGCCCCCTGGACCCTGTGGAGAGGACCCTGAGCGATGCTGAACTGGCCAAGGCCCAAATCCATGAGCTAATCCTGGTGGGTGGTTCTACCCGTATCTCTAAGGTGGAAAGGCGTCTATAAGACTTCTTCAGCGTCAAGGAGCTGAACAAGAACATCGACCTGATGAGGCTGTGGCCCGTGGGGCTGCTGTGCAGGTGGTTGTGTTGATAGACAAATGTGAGAAGGTGCAGGATCTCCTCCTGCTGGATGTGGCTCCCTTGTTTGTCCCTGGGGCTGGAGGGATTAATGTGATGGCCACATTAATCCGGTGGAATGCCACCATCCCTACCAAACAGACCCAAGCCTTCACTACTTACTGTGACAACCAGCCTGGGGTCCTGATCCAGGTGAAGGAGGGTGAGAGGGCTGTGACGAAGAACAGCAACCTGCTGGGCAGCTTTGAGCTCAGTAGCATTCTTCCTACTCCACGTGGAGTCCCCCAGATCGAAGTAAATGCTGGCATGGATACCAATGGTCTCGTTAAGTGTGACAGCCACCGACTGGAGTACTGGCAAGACTAACACGCTCGTCATCACCAATGACAAGGGCTAGCTCAGCAAGGAGGACGTGGAGAGGATGGTTCATAAGGCTGAACAGTACAAGGCTGAGGGTGAGGTCCGGAGGGACAGAGTGGCTGCCAAAAACTTCCTGGAAGTCCACGTCTTCCGTGTAAAGAGTTCCTCGCAAGAAGATAGCCGTAGGGAAAAGATTCCAGAGGAGGACAGATGCGAAGAGCAAGACAAGTGTCAGGAAGTCCTGGCCTGGCTAGAGCACAGCCAGTTGACAGGCAAGGAAGGAGTGTGTGCATCAGAAGAGGGCACTGAGCAGACCTGCTGCCCCATCTTCTGTAGGTTTTACGCGGGGCCTGATGTTCCTAGGGGTAGCAGTAGTGAGGCTCAAGTTTGCCAGGAGAGGCCTGGTACTGGCCCCCTCATTGGGGAACTTGATTGAATGACCTGTCATGATTGAGGTCATCTGTGTCTGTAAGGGCTGGACTTAGGGGTCTTCTAGACTCTTCTATATTCCCACCTTATAACTTCAGAGGTGAGTGGGGCATCTTACCCTGGAAGCTGGGAGCTTTTTTCTCATTATGTTTTATAATTCGGGTCTATGTTGTTTGATTTTTTTTTTCTTGCCAGGCATGATGGTGCATGCCTTTAATACCAGCACTCAGGAGGCTGAAGCAGGGCTGTCTCTGAGTTTGAGGCCATCCTGTTTTACATAGCAAGTTCTAGGACAGCCAGAGCTATGTGAAGGGACCCTGTCTCAAAAAACAAACAAATAGACAAATCCACTTGTCCCATT